CATACACTGACAAGTGTAATAATAAAATGAGTCTATTATTGTGTTAACTTGTGATAATAAATTATATTCTGACTTTATCATAATGACACTTTCCGTCTTTCTCTGTCCATATTTCCCTTGCGTGAGGAAATGCCAAAGAAGATGAAATCTCAACAAGAGATCAGTAAAGTCTATAATGAGAAACAGACAGAATACACCTCATACAACATTTGTAGCATTAGACCTTAAAACACGCCACCAGATGCTTATTCACATGAGAAAAAACGATATACTTGAAGTTGGTGGAAAACTCTCCAGCACACTCAGGCATCTTACGCTCATGCGGTGGTCCCTATTTGCACTTGCGAGACTATTGCGGGGACATTTGAATGATGTCACGACCGTGCGAATTGGTTCAAGTGTGCGCTCACCCTTGCAACAGAGCCATAGAGATGACTATCAAAACAGTCAACTTAATTTTGTAAAAAAAAAAAAAAAAAAAAAAAAAATAGAGAGGCCCAGTAATCCAGGGGAGTGGGGGATATACGTTTACCCAAGTATGCCTCCAGAGAGGCTGCAGTCCTCTCTGTGTCCCCTCAGAGATAAGTGAGGAGAGGAGCTGAAGTTACTGGAAAATTAGGTTATATACGGCAACTAACAAAATCTCACCGGCAGAAACCGACGCCCCGTTATCCATCCTCACAGTACATTGCAGGTTTAAGAGAGACGCAAGGTGCCCTGTTTCTGTCCACGGGGGGGGGGATGGGTGGGGGGCGGGGGGCGCGCCCTGTCAGCCTGATATAGTTCCTCCTGCTCTCACACAGCACAGCTCTCACCCTGCACTACAGCCCGCTCCTCACAAGCAGACTGGCCGAGCTTCCATGCGAGCGTCGTTGGAGCCATAGTTGTGGCGCGTTTTCTTTATTTATTTCTCATTCCACCTCCTTTAAACAATGTCTGTGTTTAACAGTGGAGAGATGGAACACAGTGGTGCTTTACAGGAAGCAGTAGAGCACAAATCCGCAGCTTGAATCGTCCTGGATGTGTGTTTTTGGAGGTGTTCTCTGTGTCTCTCCTCCTCCTCGCTGTGCGCTCTGCCGGATGACTTCAGCTCCACCGGCGTCTAGCTGCGCCTCTTTAACCCTTTGCTAACTGTTCACACTTCTTACGATGGATGGAAGCGTAAATGCGCTCTCAGCCACTCCAAACTCTCCTCATTGCACCCAAAAAAAAGTTTTCACCGGAGTTTCCCAAACAAAGAGACTCTACACAAATGTCCACCAAGTCTCAATAAAGGATGCTATTAAATTATTAATTTGGCAGAAAACTGACACCCAGTGTTAACCCCACTAGCTGGGGTTTAAGCACTTAGGATGCAGTTGGTATCAGATAAGAGGAACGTGCTTTGTGTTTTATCACGCACCTGCTCCGCGTCCAAACGGCTGCTGTGAACAGGTGTTGGGCTTAATGCTGCGTTTACGGTCTTCCTGCAGGCTAAGGGAGGGATTTATTACACGTGCCCCTTTCTACTCCAATTGTAGCTTAATGTGCTATACTATATGTCCATATCCTACTAAGAGGCATTTTTATAGTAAAGAAGCTCGGCTGATCCTGAATCAGTGTATGTCATTAGATTTGTGCAGAGTTACTGCGGCTGTGCAGACGCTTCATTGTGTTTCAGGGTTGGATGGGGATTCACCGCTCAGGCTGCACAGCTACGTCACACCACCGGGGTTCCCCCCTTCCGTCATGCCGGGGATGATGCCTTTACGAACTGTCGGATATTGGGATTTTGGCTGAAGCGCACGTGGATTCTAAACCGTTATTATTCAGACTGCGTTTTGAAGGATTTACAAACATTAAATAAAAAGAACGTGTTGTGATTGTGTAAATAATTTAGAGTTGATTCGACACTAAATTGTACAAATTAACGAATAAAATCATATAATAGCCTACTAAATATGTAGTGTTGCTGCTCTGGAGACCCTGGCATAGTGCGAGAGGGACAGAGAAGAGACTGATAAAGTGACAAATAGTCCCAATAAAGCAAACACGGAGAAAGACAGGAGGAGGCAGGAGGCCCTGGAGAGAAGACAGCACAACAAGTTGAAGCAAGAGACTTTAGTGGCAACAGCTAAAGGAGGTCGTAAGCTCACATTGTCATTGCTCTGAATAAAGAGCAGGAGAGGATGTGAGAGGAGGCTGACAGTCACCTGATATGAAAATGAAAACAGTCTACAACAGCTGGGTTGGAGAGAAAGCAATAGACAGTGGCCCTGTTGTTGTTGATAACTCCAACTCCTCTTTGCTGCGAAACCAGAACCAAAGTCTGATGGTAGGCTATGTATCATATTCCTCTACTGTGGCCTAATTTGACTTTTCAATTTACATGCAAGCCAACTTTTATCTTTAGAAAAAACTACTGAAGTCACTGAGACCCTGCTGTCCATGCAGAAGAAGTTGTTGTGTCTATTCTCTCACATAAATGTTGTGTACATTGTGTGTAAACTGTGGAAAAATGTAAGTGGGGCCATTCCATTATAACCTAATGAGTTTAGGGAGCAAAGACCGTGACATCGTGACACCCCATTTAATGATTAAAATAATGTAGTTTATAAATTGATTTCGGTGCTCATAAATGCTTTGAGAATCTGATAGGAAACATTACCAAAGCAAAGACATTAGCTGATTTAAAATGATATAAGCCAGCATGTTCAGTCTAGAACTCATTTAATAATTATCTAACATATAAGCAAGAGTTTGTGGGTTTTCTACAAGGTTTAATTTTAAATCCAAAAGTTGTCGTGATGTATGGACATGTGTGCTTGAGCCCAATTATTTTCCCGACTGCACCTGAAGGCAGCAGTACAGGCTGACTCCCCTGCATGCAACACCATGCTTCCCCAGTTTTCTTCTTAAACCCATAAGAAGTTCATTGTGTTTTTGAGGATTTGTATTTCCATCCCAGGGATTTAATAATAAATGACTGGGAAACAAGTCTCCCCTCCTTCCTGTCAGGTACAGGCCTGAAGCTGCTCACTGGATGCATTTATCAAAATCACCAGCACGGCATGAATGCATTCATTTTTCAGCTTTTTAACGATTGGATATACATGATGAATTGCAGCCTTGCAGTTGGACAAGGCCTGTACAGTCATTTATCATAATTTGGCATTAAGGTTTTACATTATATATATATTTTTTAAATGCATCAGTTCCTGGTCTCCTCACTACAGCAGCTGTGAGGCAGAGGAGGCGTGCTGGCCGGCCTTCCTCTCACAACTCCCTTATTTAGTCAGGAACAGAGAGAGGGAGGAGGGGGGGCGACGGGGAAAGGGGGGGGTTAAGGCAGACTTTTCTTATCATTCATCATGACACTAATCCCAAACTGGCAAACTCTTTCTGTGTACACACACACACACACACACACACACACACACACACACACACACACACACACACACACACACACACACACACACACACACACACACACACACACACACACACACACACACACACACACACACACACACACACACACACACGTCACCAAGAGGTTCTTGATGTGTCTTACCTTGCACAATAATGAATACAATGTTTGAATAACGGAGGTAATAAAGCTCCAGGGTTCATTTTTGACAAGCTACATCTTATTTTAATGAATACACAGCTCAGCAGCAGACAGGACTATTGTGAGGAATATCATTTTATTTAAGAATATGGCATTTCCAGGGAAGTATATCAATGTTCTGCTTGTCTATCTTGGAATAGAATATCAACACACTGCACGGTTTATTTACAGCTGGCTCATTTCTGGTTTTAGTTCAATCTAGGACGCTTGTGCCGAAGCTAAACATAAACAATGCATGTCAATTAATATAAATATTCACTTATTACATCAGTGTCACTTCACAGATAGCCTTCAAATCTTAATGCAGGTTTGTGTTTATTACAAGCAAAGCTGTTTAATACTCTGAACCAGAGAAAGTTGATGATACAATTTCAAACCACTCCAGAAACTTGGGGGAAAAAAGGTGAATGGGAGGAATCTTGATGAAAAAGGCATGGGATTTTTTGGAACAGTTGATATTGATAATAATCTCAAAGAAACAGACACTAACAGTATTCTCCATGTGTAGAAATGTTTTATTGATGTATCAGTAACTGCTGCTGACCGCTGGAACATGCACATCTTATTTATACATACAAATTAAACTTGTTTTTTGCATAATAGTTCTTACTTGGAGTGTATCATAGGTCCATTAATATTACTATAAATATACAGTAGAAAAAGGCTGTACAAGTAGAAGAATAAACAGGAACAGGAACTCTATGATCAGCAGTAGCATCCAGTCATCTGATGACTCAGGACTACAGAACAGTGTGAACATCAGCGGGTCTCCATGTTTCCTCTCATCCATCGCTGTGTCCCGCCCCAAAATGATGCGTCCATCACCCGGCAACCGCTCTCACTTGGCGTGGCATTTGTACTTGTCCTGCTCTCGCTCTTTCTTAAGCATACACACACTCACACTCTCACAGACACACTCAACACACTCAGCGTCTGGACAGGTCACCTCCTGCGAAGAAGAGAATATAGAAATAGAGATCCAGTCTCTCTCGAGCACAAACTTGGTGGTAGAGCCCAAATCCATAGGTGGGCAAATCAGAAACAGGTAGGTTTACACGTACGAGGAATTTGACTTGGTTTCGTGGTGCATACATAAAAGTAAAACAAGAATTAAAAAAACAGGTAGAGAACTAGAAAAACATTACAAATAATAAAAAATATAGTAAAATATATAATTTACATTGCAATGGAAAGGAATAAATATGATCTCCCAAGGGTGAAATAAATAGGTGGCACAGGGACATTAGTTTATTATTTCTGGTAAAACATAAACATACTGTATCTCCCTATCTATACTGAACATCTGTGCGTCTGGAATTTTACTGATGTCAAAATATGATAGGCGCAGACATATATGCGTCAAGAGGACATATTAAGCTCACTTTCAGGTTCATATTTGTATTTTGTGCCTCTACTGTGACATGTCTTCATGCTTTAATGTTCAAAAAGCTCTTTATTTTTCTCATACTGCCTTTTCACCCTCTGTCTGAAACCAGAGCACAATCTGCTCTGATTGGTTAGCTGGTTGGCTCTGTTATGTTAGGTCAAACACTTAGAGATGTCCCGTCTCTTAGCCTGTCATGTACAATGTGTCTGAGTGCTAGCCAATAGAAGTGTGATTGTTACGTAGTGATGTTGTGTGAGGGAGAGAAACTCCCTCTGGAGGAAACTGTGGGATGTTAGGCTTAATAGGGTCCCTTTAATATATACAGTGGGGCAAAAAGTATTTAGTCAGCCACCAATTGTGCAAGTTCTCCCACTTAAAAAGATGAGAGAGGCCTGTAATTTTCATCCTAGGTATACCTCAACTATGAGAGACAAAATGAGAAAAAAAAATCCAGAAAATTACATTTTCTGATTTTTAAAGACTTTATTTGCAAAATGATGGTGGAAAATAAGTATTTGGTCAATAACAAAAGTTCATCTCAACACTTTGTTATATACCCTTTGTTGGCAATGACAGAGGTCAAACGTTTTCTGTAAGTCTTCACAAGGTTTTCACACACTGTTGCTGGTATTTTGGCCCATTCCCCCATGTAGATCTCCTCTAGAGCAGTGATGTTTTGGGGCTGTCGCTGGGCAACACAGACTTTCAACTCCCTCCAAAGATTTTCTATGGGGTTGAGATCTGGAGACTGGCTAGGCCACTCCAGGACCTTGAAATACTTTTTACGAAGCCACTCCTTCATTGCCCGGGCGGTGTGTTTGGGATCATTGCCATGCTGAAAGACCCAGCCACGTTTCATCTTCAATGCCCTTGCTGATGGAAGGAGGTTGTCACTCAAAATCTCACGATACATGGCCCCATTCATTCTTTCTTTTACACGGATCAGTCATCCTGGTCCCTTTGCAGAAAAACAGCCCCGAAGCATGATGTTTCCACCCCCATGTTTCACAGTAGGTATGGTGTTCTTTGGATGCAACTCAGCATTCTTTCTCCTCCAAACACGTCTAGTTGAGTTTTTACCAAAAAGTTCTATTTTGGTTTCATCTGACCATATGACATTCTCCCAATCCTCTTCTGGATCATCTAAATGCTCTCTAGCAAACTTCAGACAGGCCTGGACATGTACTGGCTTAAGCAGGGGGACACGTCTGGTTCTGTGGGATTTTTGCTCACCGTTCTTGTGATCATTTTGACCCCACGGGGTGAGATCTTGCGTGGAGCCCCAGATCGAGGGAGATTATCAGTGGTCTTGTATGTCTTCCATTTTCTAATAATTGCTCCCACAGTTGATTTCTTCACACCAAGCTGCTTACCTATTGCAGATTCAGTCTTCCCAGCCTGGTGCAGGTCTACAATTTTGTTTCTGGTGTCTTTGACAGCTCTTTGGTCTTGGCCATAGTGGAGTTTGGAGTGTGACTGTTTGAGGTTGTGGACAGCTGTCTTTTATACTGATAACAAGTTCAAACAGGTGCCATTAATGTGATTTTCTGGATTTTTTTTTCTCATTCTGTCTCTCATAGCTGAGGTATACCTAGGATGAAAATTACAGGCCTCTCTCATCTTTTTAAGTAGGAGAACTTGCACAATTGGTGGCTGACTAAATACTTTTTTGCCCCACTGTATATTAAGCATCCCACCAGCGCTGTAGACTGGGAAATGAACACTGCATTTTGTGGGGCAGCATCAATGTGTTGACCTGGTTTGGGACCAGCAGAGCAATAAACGTAGTAGTAACAACATAAACATCCAGGATTTACCCTTATGACATTTTGGATAAACAAGCTCTTTTCTGATGCTATTTTATGCGTTCTGGCAATTTATTTACATGGCATAAACACGTCTCAATCCTTGAAATGTATGTATGTGATGTACAAATATTTACTCTTCGGTCTGAGTCGCTCGGGGCTGACCACCAGACTCACACACAGTTATTTCATGGACCTGTGTTTATTCTAAAAAGCCTACATGTTCTCCTTATAGCCTTATGGCCTACAGTACATTTACAATATTAACACTGATTTCTCCTGGGAAGCATTTTCTCTTCATTTGGAAATGAGGTTGGACAGCATGCCTTTGATATAGTCTTTAAACAATATATATTAATACATAAATAAAATATGATTCATCAAATGTATATAAAAGTTCATTTGTCAATGTGACGACGAGACGCCGTTACTAGAGCTCTCGTGAACATGTTCATATAATTTATTGATGTAGTATTTATTTGGTATAAGTGTTCACCCCCATCTTGTTACGGGCCGCTCAACGGTCGTCTCTGTGTTCCCTCCTACTGATTACCCAATTGTAGTTCACCTGGTGCCCTGTGTTTGTCCTCCCCACCCCACTCACCTGGTGCCCTGTGTTTGCTCCTCCCCCCTCACCTGTGTCTAATTGCTCCCCCCTCACCTGTGTCTTGTTAGTCTGTGTATTTAAGTGCTGTTTCTTGATGGGTGTGTGTGAGATCCTGGTGGCTGCAGACTGGGCTCGTGTGAACAGCAGCAGGATTGAGGCTGTGTGAACTTTGTGCACATTGTTTTAATAAATGCCCACGTCGGGTTATATTTTTGGACGTTTTGCCTCTGCCTCCTTGCTTGGTCGGGCCGCTCAACGGTCAGTCTCACAGTCAAATACAAATTTAAAAACTCCCCTTTTTTTTGGCCATGTCACTACAGTTTATATATCAGGGGACTTCAACAGGTTGATCATATTGTGCAGGAGCAGGAAATCAATCAGGAGGGAGTTTATATATTTGAACTGTATTCAAAATGTACCAGTTATATACAGTATACTGCAAGTCATTTAAAATGTATTTAAGATATAAAATGCATGAAGTGTGAATCAGCAGTAAAAAAAAAAATCTATGCAAGTCCCTCTGTCGGTATTGCAATGAGCGTATGTCAGTCTAAAGACAGCACCAGATGACAAATGAGAAAGTGGCAGCTAATATGTGTATGTGTGTGTGTGTGTGTATTCGGCCACACTTAATCAAAGATTGATCGACGTACAGAACAAATCCGTCAGACGTGATGTCCGCGGCGTGTAGAGGGGGGAGGGGAGTCGGGGGGGAGGGGAGTCGGGTTCTGTATTGCATGTGGCTACATCCAATTAACTAACGCAATCAGCCATGTTGATGAATGGATTAGGTCATAATTGCTTCAGAGGTGGGATCCTTGATTGAATTATTCATGGTGGGCAAAGGCAAACGCATGTTCCACTAAGATTAGCTGTGTGTGTGTGTGTGTGTGTGTGTGTGTGTGTGTGTGTGTGTGTGTGTGTGTGTGTGTGTGTGTGTGTGTGTTTGTCAGGCTGGTGTTAATAATAAGTGAAGAAATAGTATTGAGAGGAAGGGACAGACATGATGGTTATTGTAACAGCCACTTACTGAGCTGCCTACTATGTGCTAGGTGCAGGCTTATTAACACATTTATTGAAGAATAACTTTTGAGTAGCCAAATGTTGATATAATTATGACTTTAGATATGTTTTATGTTTTTGAGAAAGTTACTGAGTATTATATCTCTTGGTGTTATTATCAGCATGTAAAAATTATAACCGCCTATATAAAAAAAAAAGATTGATACCAAATGTAATCTGGTTTAACGGTTCTTTACGGTATTCAGAGCACATCTGTGTTTGTGGGTTTGCCTCCAAATGGCTCTCAACATGACGATGGCTGAGCCGACAGCTAGCAGCTAACAGAGCTAACGGCACAAGCAGTGCTGACTCGCAGCTCACAGTGTGGACCTGTGGGGCGGTGGGTCTATTGTTCCAAAGTAGCTACATCAACAAAGCACAGAAAAAAATCCGATTACAGTGCACAAAGAGAGAGAGAGTGAATTCCGATTCTACTCAGGCCGTCATTATTCTTTTACATAGCAAAAAGTTATTATTTCCTGAATGTTGTAAATAGACGGTTAAAAACATTATATGTGTGCCAACTCTGCTTTCACAGTGATATCATGTAGAGGGAGTTTCAAAAATGAGTAACAATGTCATTCCGCCCACTTATGTTATTTTATCCTCACATCAGCATGGACGTGCTGATGGCAGTTTTGATCTTTATATATTTCATGAAGTAAAAATAACTATTATCAATTGATCTAGGCTAGAGAAATCCAATTCTGGCTCACTTGATGTTATAATTAAGTCAGATTTGAACAACAAGTTGAGAGCAGCAGCAGTTTTCTCTCTGATGGAGCCATATACAGACTTATATTATTTAATAGTTATCCATTTATTTTAGTGTTGTTTTTTGTTTATAGTAAACCTTCCTTTTATTCTAGTGTAATTCAAGTTCATCGAATAAGTTGTTTTATGCTTTTGTTTGATAGGCGTATGTTTTTTTACTATCAGGTGCATGCAAGCAAAAAGGCAAGAAAAAGGTTGTCCTTTATGATTTGGAATCAAGAAAATAAAATGCACAGAAATGACTTTTGCCCGTACCTTTATTAACCCATGCGTAACATTCAGTGGCACTTTGTTTTGATTTATATTTCTCTTTTATATTTTGTATGATTTTGGCTGCTTTCCACGTATATTACACATTCTGTAAAATCCTATTATCATGTGGAAAAGAAAAACACTCTGCAACACACTTCTACATATTTCTTTTTTTCACTCAGACTCCCTGACCACCCCTGTTTGGATCAAGCCTTCCATTTCCGTACCTTTCCAGTGTGTAAACATGTGTCACGTGTAGCTATTTTTACATAAATTCAAACTCTGGCTTTTCACACTGCCGAGAGCGATGAACAAGCAAATCCGTCAGCAACATTCATTATTCCCCACCTTGGCAGCTGGTGCACTCGCAGCTGTGGATGACGGGCAGGACCACGGGCTCGCTCTCTCCGCTCTCACACTGCAGGCTGAGGAAACGCACCGGGGTCTCAGGGTCCAGACGGTAACTGCAGCACTCACACACCGACTGGAGGTAGGGCTCCTGTAGAGACGGGGGGGAGGAGAGAGGATGAAATGATGGACAGAAGCAAGAGATCAAAGGAGAGCCAGCGGGAAACATAGATTAGAATATTATGAAGAGAGGGGGAAATAGGAGGGTGAGGAGGTTATGAGAGAATTTCAGAAGAAGAAGCATTTTAGAGAAGGAAGTACAAAATAATGTAGGAGATAGGTGAGGTGAACTAGTACTGGCTAGATTGGAGTAAGGCAGGGCAAGGAATCAAGGTGGAGGAATCAGACCTCTTTAGATGAAATTACAAAATGACAGTGTTGAGGACAATGGACTTCACAGGCAATACATCAGACAATAGTTAAAGCCCCACTTATACTTTCTATTTTAACAAATCAAATTCAGGGTATGAAAGGGTCTGCTCACACTGCTGACACCGCAGAATACGAGCTCATTTCTTTGAGCTAATGCGTTTTATTGTCCAGCATCTACAGGGTGTACTTTGAGGGTTTTTGACTCTGCAGACCGTTTACATGCATAAAAACCTTCATAACACACAAGGGGACGGGTAATAACCGGAAAAGCATGACATGGGACCTTTAAGTATACTATGCTCCAATAACACCTATTTCGTACCCTCATAGCAAAACAGCAGACAGACTTACTGTAGATGGTGACAAGCTGATTAACACAGTTCAGTAATTATCAGGGTCTTGTGTCTAACGGTTGGTTTTGTTCAAATCGAACATCACCATATGAAGTTGTTATGACAAGCGTGTTGGATAATCTCTGCTTTCACATCCAACAGACACCGTGGGCTTATCAACATCTGTCTGCAAGCAGCAGGAAATAACTCACAGAGAACAGTGAGAATAAAGCAAACAGCAACATTAAAGCTACTGGTCATAAAATGCTGCAATAAGCTGGAAGGTAATGAAATGTTTAATGGTGATAAGTGGAACTGCCTGGTCAGTTAATAGTTATATGTAGGTTCATCAGTGTGTGCTAAATCTTTTTATATTGCTTATTTTAAAAACAAACGTATTGATTTCCTGCAAATTAAACCACTGAAGTGCTTAAGGTAATAATAACATGTAGATACAAATATTAATAATAAATAATAACAATTGCCTCCCAAGTTAGTCAGAGATGTCAAATTAAATCAGCTAAACAGCAACAACAACAACAAAAAACACAACATTTGAAATTGGCTGACTATTTCCTAACTCCTGAAAAACAAAATCCCAGCCTTGGATGATAGAAGCTTTCTTCTTAGAAGTTGTTCTCATGTGTCCAATTAGTGCAGGCGCCGATCCAAGGAGGAGAGAGATTGTGCTAGCAGAGAATAATAGATAATCGGAGAAGGAGGTGGAGGGGTGAGGGAGCCCGGCGTAAGAAAAAAACTACTTCAATCTCTCCATAAAATAGTTATTAGTGCTTCACACACTTTGAAAAGTGCAGAGTGTGTTTGTCAGTTTCCCTGATCAGGGGGAAGACCTGCTGAAGGGCTTTTCTCTGCGCTGCCTAGTCACTGGTTACCATCCCCTTGTTGCCACAGTAACAGGAGGTAATGACACTTTTGGCTGAGCGCGTGCTTAATCAGACTGCCTCTATGTTTAACAGCGATGTATGGATGCCAAGGAAGAACAAAGTCTCCATGGTGATCAGATGATGAGCCTGCTGTCTAACAAAGGAGACGAAAACAAGTGAAGGCAGAAGAGAAAGAAACTGGGGCATTTATTATTTATTTGTATTACCTGCCCTCGTGTCATCTGTGTGAAATATGTGTTAACAACAGCTGACAGAAGGCTACATGATCAATACATTATCCTTAGTCCACAGACTGATGGCTGTTCCCGGTGTTTACCTCTGAAGACATTACAGCAGGTGTGACCAGCAGCATGTGTATGACTTCATTTTGATTTGCAAAAAACACTTCTGAAACCTGATGCCTGGGCACATTTCAGACGGCAGCAGATGGACGATTTGGCTGCCCAGAGATTTAAAGCAACATTTATTATTATTAATTTGCATACTGTAAAAACTTAAATGATTGATGGCTTTGCTCGGATTTAAACTTTTTTTTTTACAGCTTTTCAGCTTTTTGTATCAGCATGTTTTAATTATTTAGCTTATCAGTTTAGTCCTGCAGACATTCCAAAAGTAAATGCAGATTTTTCTCTGGCATTGCACTATATAATTACAATTAGCAAACAATAATAACCAACAGCTTTTTCTCTTCTCGCTCTGGACCCTTTAAGTCTGTTTTACTGCCTGTATTGATATGTATTGTGCTACCAGCTGTCACTCATTTCGAAGTCAATACTAGTCAGTGTTGCTTTCATAGAGTGTTATCTGTGTGTGTGTGTTCCGTACCTCCAGGATGACATCAGTCCTGGACAGACAGCGTCCCCTGCAGAAGCTGACCTCCACGTTGTCAAGCCGACAGTCTCCCTTAGTGATGTTCCTGACCTGCACGTAGCGCCGACACTCTGGCACGGGCTCGTCTGAACAGAGAGGAGCAAGGAGAAGGGCCAAAAGAGGGTGGAGAGACCAAAGGGAAACAGAGGAGCAGGAGATTACGAGGAGCCGTGATTGGGCATGAAAAAAAAGGAAGAAGAGGACAAAGAGCCAGAGCCAGAGAGTTCACGGTGACATTGCATGTGACATTTCCCTCCACTGAGAGAGCGATTAAAGCCCCAATGAGAGTTAAGCACTGAAATCTCTCACTAATTGGGCACTGTAGCACTTGGTTTTTTAGCCTCCTATAAAATGAACTAGAGAATATTCAAATCCTATGAAGTGGTTTTGAAGTGAGGACATGGAATAAAGGTAGCTACTGTGAGTGTTTGTTTGACATTTGCATGTTTCATAATCGAGCAGCTTACAACAATTAATGTTTCAACTGTTCCATGTGTCTTTCTTTTCACAGATGAACACACATCACTCCTTATGGTAATATGGTCACAGTGTAAGGTGATTTAATGGATTGTGAGATGTGTTTTACTGCATTTCTGTTGTACTAACCTGGAAACTGCTTTCTACACACTGGACAGCAGCTGCCTGGCTCCTCCACCTTCACCTCCCCCTGAAGAGAGATAATGATGAAAGTGAAAATATTCTCCTGTGCGCTATCAACACACACAGTAATAATTGGGCATTACAACTTCAGCTCATATTTTATAAACAGTAAATATTGTTCAAAGGACAAAAACCAATTCTACGTTTGTTAAGAATCAGTGGGCCCAGCACTGAACCCCTTTGACTGAAATTTGACATGAACATGGTTAGATGAAACGTTATTGAAATGTATCCCGTAAAAATGTTGGATAGGTCATCCAATAATTTGACATACAATGCAAAAAACACAAAAATCAAATAGTTAAGTTGAGATTATCATCAGCCCGTATCATCACCCGCACCAAATCCTCTGACCACATCCGCCCCATCCTCATCCAACTGCAATGACTCTGTGTTCAATCCCGGATCAACTACAAAAACCTCCTGCTTCCCTACAAAGCCCCCCACAACCTGGCCCCCACCCATCTGTCTGACCTACACCCCCTCTCGCTCCCTCCTTTCTTCCTCTGCTGGCCAGCTAACCGGCCTCAACCCACGCCTCGTCACCATGGGTGCTCTGGCTTTTAGCTGCACTGCTCCCAGACTCTGGCACTCTCCCCCCCACACATCCGACAGTCTGACACCACCAATAAATCCCACCTAAAAACCCTACTCACTGTAGTGCTCACCATCCTCTGTGTGCCCAGAAAAACCTGTCCCTTTCATTTGTGTCTACTTTGATTGTCTCCTCCATGATTGCCTGTTTGTGTTTTAATCATGTTCGGTTGCTTTTGACCTCTTAAGAGTATTCACTAAACTGTACAGTGTCCTTGGGTGTTGTGAAAGCCGCATCAAATAAAACGTATTATTATTATTATTGGAATGATCATTTAATATTGTTTTGTTATGTTATCCTGATGTTGCATCTTCATAACAAGGGAAGATGCTGGCATCTCTGAAATATAAGATCTCCATAGGTGGGAATCCTTCATTTATTTTTGCAATGCAGGACAACTGAGGAGTGGAACTAGGAGTTACATGCACTAATATGTGAGAGTGGTTTGTGCATGTCACATCACTCAGTAAAACATGTTCTTGATCAAATGTTTTTTTATCAGTGAGCACTGCTAGTTTCAATTCAGAGAGTAACACCCAGGATGAACAAGAACATGGTTGAGACGCAGCGCAGAGATAGCAAAAGGATCAGAAAAAAAAGGCAAAGAGTGAGATAGAAAGGCCAGAAATAGCAAGAGAGTAGCACAAAGTCACAGAGAGAAGGAGCTACGTCACTGAGAAAGAAAGATCCAGCAGGGTGTCCTGTTTTGTCCCTGTCTTGGAATAGCTACAGTTAGGATGCAATCACTGACAGAATGCTTCAGCACCCCCACCAACACAAAAAACATTGACATTTTAAGCAGATATAAAACGTCTCATTCTTCCCATGCTCCTTCTAACTATTCACACTCAGGTCTTCTCCTCTAAATCTGCACTGCCGCCAACCTTCCCTCAGGGAGAGAGAGCCTTCACACAGGGTGGAGGTCACAAAGCGTAGTCCTCAAAGTTAGAAGTGTGTGTGTGTAAGTGTCTGATGTGGCGAGGGGGTTAAAATGGTGTGAAAAGTGGATTCCTGGCTAAGGAAAGGACACTTGGCATTTAAAGTAAATGTAGTGAAATGTGTGTCTTCAGCAGGCTGTGAAATACAAATCAAGGCTTTTTTTTATTGTGTCTGGAACACTGTGAGAGCAGCCTGTGTCCTGCTAGCTTTTATCACCCGATATGATAACAGAACCTTTAAAGCAACACCATGAAAAAGGGCCTTCAGGCAGAGCGGAGGCATGTTGAGAGATTTAATTTGAGAAAAAACGATTGTGCTCAACTGTAAGCTGTGAGTCATAAACAACTGAGTTCAGTGCCAGTAACCAATTATCAACCTGTCAGTGGAGGGAACAGTGCGCATTAAATGACCTTTTTCACATTAGCCGGGATAAGAAGCGCTTTCACTGAGGCATAACTTAGTGCAGCCAGGGGAGGCGAGGGATTTGAAAATGCAAGAAGAAATAATAAGAGTTCCTCCAGAGACAGAAGGCACCGCCGCTGAGACCGTGTGCAGCAAAGGTGTAACAATCAGCAGACTGTCTACACTGCGGAGCTCACTGTAAAATCAACCTCTCTTTTAAAGTTCTGGGTGTCAGCAGAATTTATTTTCGCCCAGCTGCCATACAGCCCTGGTGGGCTACACATATAAATTCAGGTTATTGCGAGGAGACAGTTCACTTTTGTACCATGACTTTTCTCGACTCAATTACCGTGGAGACAAGAATGAAGTATGCTGATTGGTGAGGAACCTTCTATTTAAAGGATTAGTTTACCTGGAAGGTTTAAGAAGGAGGATCATGAAAGAAGATGCAGATACAACTGAATTTTGTAGTCCTTTAAAGAGAGTTAGAACCACTACAGAATACCACTTGCATCTGTTAGACAGAGGGGAAAAATTAGGTATTTTTGTTCATGAGAAAAAAATGGTTTCCATCTTCTCTCCATGTTGGCTGGCTCTAACACTGTGCAGAAGGTTAGCCTTAACAGTTATCGAGTGAATTGTTCTCAGATTTAGTTTAGATCATTTTTAGATATCTAGATCAGTATAGATGTTATGTTTAGATTATATTAGATTAGAGCAAATGGAATTCATTCTGGTGACCCCAATTTATCCTCAAGTGCCATCATTTAGTCGTAATGGCTTATGGCTTATGGTAGGATACCTGCAAACCAAATCTCATTCCCATTAAGCTCTATTTGCAAGTTAGGGTACAACCAGAGTTGGGTGTAAAACATGTTACACCTTTATATAGAGAGTAAAGAAGTAAAGTAATATATTACTTTTGTTTTAAAGTAATAAGTAATGTACTATATTACTTTTTTTGAGTAATGACCCCATCTCTGGTTACAACTAGCTTTTTTAGCATGCTCAATTACGATGCTAACAGACAAGGTGAAAATGACAAACATTATGTAAAACATCAGCATGTTAGCATTGTCATTGTGTTAGCATTTAGCTCAAAGCACTGGTGTCCCTCAGTACAGCCTCACAGAGCTGCTAATCGTCCTGTTAGAAGCTCTACTCACTCTAATTACCCTTTAAATATGGCATAGCCCTGCAGCGGAGGAACAAAGGGAGTCGAAGCATTGCAAAGGGACTTTAGGAAGAGAATACTTTAATCCCACAGAGAGCAGCCTCAGTGGGACGCCAACAACAAACAATGTTCAGATTAACATTGTCATACCCTTCTCCTCTATTTCTATCCGCAGGATAGACTGTGTATTTATGTGTTGCAAAATGTATCCCCAGTGTCAAAATGCAGAATTAATTTAAACAGAGATAAATTATTCTTCATCTGCCTGTGGTTGTACAGAGTGCATACATATTAAACTACTCAGCTCACCTTATTATGCGAGACAAACAGCTCATAGGTGTGTGTATGTATGAACATTATCAGATGCAAAAACATCTTTTTGTGATGTCACTAGCTATACAACCATTCACCTGTAGCTAAAATCATCATGAATGACAATCTATTTATCAAAACCATAAGAAAAAAACAAATAGCTGAAAATGTAAAATCTAGAGAAGATTCTATACATATATATATATATATATAAAATATAATACTCGCAAGTCTGACCTAAAATGTGATCTTTAACTAAAATATGCTTTACATATCATACATGGTGCCTTCATGTTGCAACCATCTGCCTAATAGTTTATTTCTGGTATGGGGATGCAACCCAATTATCCTTAAGAAAGGAAAAGGTTTCAGTTTAAATGGGAGGTTTTGGGGATGTTTAATGAAAAATGGCAGACTTGTGGGAGGACTGGACAGTCAGGTATTGATCTACTTCCACCAGCGACCTGCAGAAAACATCCCACACATTCTTGAGGGAGCAGAGAATTGTCTCCCTGACTGGGGAGTCCTTTAGATGTTTCTGACTGTAAAAACACGGGATAGGAGGCGAAGATGAGTTTTTCTGGGAGACTGACTGTGCCTCTGTAATCAAACCTTTATTTCTCTTTACATTACATCACATGTCACTTGTTAGACGCTTTTATCCAAAGCGACTTACATACTCAATACTGTGAGCAATTTGGGGTGAAGTGTCTTGCCCAGGGAAACAACGAAATACTGACTGCATTGGGGTTTGAACCTGTGACCCCCTGATCCTAACACCAGCGCACAACCCACAACCCACTGCACCACACGCCTCCATTTACCTGTATGTGGATTCAGTAGATGCACACACTCCTGCAGAAAAGCAATGAACTTGGAGAACAAATGCAGCTTTAAGCTAAACACCTTTCTCAAACCCTAAGGAAAATGGTCTGGAGTATATTTGGTGCAGGTGCTTGTAAAAGTTTGTAGGTCTTATAGTGCAGACAAATGTAAGGTTGGATAGGATATTAAAACTTTGAACCGGATTATGATTACATGATTATTTAATGACTGTTAAGATTATTATTATAAATACAGCTGTTGGCACAATTCAGTGCTCCTAACCTTGCAGACAGGATGCCCAAAAGGGGTTGCAAAATGGGTTTAAGGACAATACAAATGATAATCCCTCTAATCCTTGCCTTTTATTATAATAATTACTGACTAAAAATGATCCAATTTAATAATAGGAATAAAGGGAAACCACACTTTAAATGAACTCCCCAACTGCAGAAAGAAAAAGTTATAGAAATCTATTTTATAATACTGGGAAAGTCAAAAAAAGCTATATAGTCTAGTCATCTATGCATTCGATGATTTTGTCGGCATAATTGTTTTAAGGTCTCTTTAATTCAAGAGAGCTTCACCTCAGACAGGCTAACTGACTGAATAAAACTAAATAACTACATTTTAATTGTGCAAAATGATGATATATGAAACAATGAATTGTATATATATTGTTATGCATTTTCGACTGAGGAAGCATTTCCTCTAATTGATCTGGGTATATTATGGCACTGAGAGCAATGAAGCGAGCAACACATTTTAAACATTATACCAGGATTTCTGCCACGACCTCATAAAGTACCTACATTTTGATGGTATTAAGTATAATGCAAAAACAGATTGTCCCAATTATATTCACTTGTCATGTTAAAAAACAAAATCAGACAGGTGTCATTTGAGTCAGTGTGTGCCTTACCTCTTCACAGTAGAGTGGCGGACATCTTAACTGGCACACTTGTTTCCCGTTCACACAGTGACACGACAGACAGCCTTCGTCCCACTCTGATCCTGCCTGGCTCACACATACAGAACACACACAAAATAATTATATTCACTCAATTGACATAATCAGAATCAAGTTTAATGACAGGTACGTTTACACACACAAGGAATTTGCTTTGGTATCTGGTGGTGCGAACATAAACAATCTAAAAAAATAAGTTGCAAAGTAGGTAAAAAAAAGAAATATATAAGGATAATAAAAAATAAGTATTATTAAGAAACAATTTAGCATTAAAAAAGGATGCTAAAGACAAGTATTTACACCAAATTGAAATCTAACTATACAAATAACCTTAAAAGCTTAAAAAACAAAAATAACTCACATTGCTGTGAGTGGAAAGGCAACTGGTCACAGCTGAGGATCTAATTATTCTGTGAATATACTAAAGCTCTGGGTGCACCCTGCTATGGAGGCCCATTATGATGCTTTAATTATAACACAACATAACACAAACTACTTTACATGTCTCATGTTTGCTATGGGAATCCTTGTTAAGTATTTATCCATGCAAAGGCATGGACTAGGGGGTGCATTTGTAGCTCACACTGAGCCGTTTGTTGTTATAGTCAAGAACTAGTTTATTTAGAAAACTATAGAGGGTCTTTAAGGGAAATTAGTCAACATCAGCTGACGGGGAGAGACAAATAGAAAGAGTGAGAGAGAATGGGGATAAAAAGGAAAAGGGATGGAGAGAGTGAGAGATTAAACATGAATCCTTTAATGAGAGCAGAAGAGGGACTAAGAGGTAAAGCAGAGGCAAGAAAGAAACAAAGAGAGGATGAAAGGCCTGAAGAGAAAAGATCAAGAGGGGGGGGATATGACCTCTTGTCATTGTATGATTAATTCTTATAATCTTATAATATCCCCTCATTCATAAATAATTCCTGGCAGGTTTGCCCGGTCGCGGTCCCAGTCCCCGGCTTTTCTACGGCACTTCCTACATAATTGATGAAGGTTGAGGGCTGCAGAGGCAATGTGGTGTAATGTGGTCCGAGGGGCATGTCACTCATCTTCTAATGGGCCATTCTTCATCAGTAAATAACACAATGGCAGTGAATTGGGGGGGG